ACGCTGTTGACCTTCCCGCCAGAGCGGTACCTATTTATCTACTTGCACTGGCGTGCTTTCGAACTGCTAGGTTGGCAGGAGCAGGGACCGAGCAACGGTACCCAGATTCTTTTCCCTTCTACCTGCTTCTGAGAAAACGAATCACCCAGGGATGGTGATTTGGTCCTCTAAATGTTGCTGGACTACAACTCCCATCATGCTGCCAAGGGCTGATGGAAGATGTAGTCGAAGGATATCTGGGGGGGGGAGCGCAGATTCCCCATCCCCACTGTAGCCCAAGGGTTGCAGAATAATAACAACCCCGAGGGATAGGATGGAATAAGAGATACAGAGATATTCAAGGTTGCGCACTGTCAGAGGTGGGATTTGAACTTGCCTTTCCCCGTTTTGCACAAGTCTGCAATAGCTATATTGTTGGTCTTCAACAGGTGGGTCACTCTGATTGACACCACAGCCTCCTTTTAGAGCGAGAGGGAGACAAAGGGGAGCATCATTCTAACTGGGTTCCGTATTTTAGATTTGTTCCTCGGGCGTTAATTCCCTGGGTTTTAGTTTTGAATGGTTGCATTATTGCTAGGCTCTTGGGCCGTAAGTTATTCCTGTGTCCCTTATGGTTCTCCAGCACTGTCCGTTCTTACTGATAGCCCTGTGCTTCTGCTACTGAAGGCAGCTGTTCTTAGGCAGCCTGTATCCTCCATGTTGCTGTTTGTAAGTTCAATGTGTCTGGACAGTCCTAGACTAGAGCCTGTGATATGCAACTTTCCATGATGCTGTCTGTTCCACAGATCTTTGCGGGACTTCTTACCTGAATGACTGTGAACAAAACTCAGTAATTGTGTGTGTGTGTGTGTGTGTGTGTGTGTGTGTGTGAGAGAGAGAGAGAGAGAGAGAGAGAGAGACCATCTGTACAAACATTGACAACTAAATAGGAATAGGAAAATAACTATTAAAAACTTCCAGTGAAGGAGACACAGCACCCGGGTTGCAGTACTCACTGCTGCCCCATCAAGCCAATCCTGGGGTAATTGGAGGCCATCCCTGACCTCCTTTTGCTTCACCAGCAAGAAAGTTGGCAGGTGTGGAGTTTGAAGTCATTAAGGTAAAGGGACCCCTGACCATTCGGTACAGTCGTGGCCAACTCTGGGGTTGCGGTGCTCATCTCGCTTTACTGGCCGAGGGAGCCGGCGTACAGCTTCCGGGTCATGTGGCCAGCATGACTAAGCCGCTTCTGGCGAACCAGAGCAGCGCACGGAAACGCCGTTTACCTTCCCACCGGAGTGGTACCTATTTATCTACTTGCACTTTTACGTGCTTTCGAACTGCTAGGCTGGCAGGAGCAGGGACCGAGCAACGGGATTTCACCCGTAGTGGGGATTTGAACCGCCGACCTTCTGATCGGGAAGCCCTAGGCTCTGTGGTTTAACCCACAGCGCCACCCGCGTCCCATGAAGTCATTGTTGCTGGCTAAATACGGGAAAGAAAACGGCTCTGAAGAAACAAGACTTTGCCATTTCCCTTTACCATCCCACAGAAGAAGATTTGGATTTGATATCCCACTTATCACTACCCTAAGGAGTCTCAAAGCGGCTAACATCTCCTTTCCCTTCCTCTCCCACAACAAACACCACGGCGCCAGATATGCTTAAGACAGCCCTGTCCCCACCCTTCTGGCCATCGTTTGGCTCACTGCTCTTGCTGGTGTGGTGTAGTGGTTAAGAGCAGTGGACTCGTAATCTGGTGAACCGGGTTCAATTCCCTGCTCCTCCACATGCAGCTGCTGGGTGACCTTGGGCCTCACTTAACCTCACTCATCTTGGTCATTCACATGTGTTGCCCATCCTAAACATGACAAATTGCAGAATACGAACCGCATTTGCCCAGGTATCTTAACAGCCGTCAAATCTGGGCAGCTAACTAGGTTCCGAAAGCACTGTTAAGAATCCACGATTAGCTCTGCTTAACCCATAATTGCATGTTTGCACTATATTAAACTGAAACTATGTTGAAAAAATTCCTCATACCTAGCTCTGGGAAAGACAGATTGAGGAACTAGCTCTGCTCACTTGGCTTCATGTCTGGCTGAGGTTGTTGCTGTTGTTATTTTATTTATTATTTATACTCTGCCTATCTGGCTGGGCTTCCCCAGCCACTCTGGGCGGCTTCCAAAAAAATATTAAAATACTATAATACATCAAACATTAAAAGCTTCCCTAAGCAGGGCTGCCTTCAGATGTCTTCTAAAAGTCTGGTAGTTGTTGTTCTCTTTGACATCTGGTGGGAGGGCGTTCCACAGGGCGGGTGCCACCACCGAGAAGGCCCTCTGCCTGGTTCCCTGTAACTTGGCTTCTTGCTGCGAGGGAACCGCCAGAAGGCCCTCGGAGCTGGACCTCAGTGTCCGGGCAGAACGATGGAGGTGGAGACGCTCCTTTAGATATACTGAATACAGAGAATTATTATTATTATTCTATTCTATGCTGCTTCTTATTCAAATAAATCCCAAAGCAGCTTAGAAACAAAAGATAAAAATAACATAATGGAACATCACGAATACAGCATAAATTGTATAGAATACCGAACAAATCATCAGTAAAACATTCACAAATCACAAATAAAACAATTACCATCTGTGTAACACTATTAACAGAACAACTGAAAAATAAGCTAAACATCACAGTTACACCAAAAATCATAGTATAAGATTCACAAAGCACGACAGCATTCATATCTATAAAACAACATTAACATAACAGCAACAAAACATACAAAGCCCTGTTGAATTTGTGCATGGGTGTCTTCCTCAGTTGGTTGGTGCTGAGAACGCCAAGGTTGCAGGTTCGATCCCCGTATGGGATAGATGCATATTCCTGCATTTCAGGGGGTTGGACTAGATGATCCTCAGGCTCCCTTCCAACTCTACAGTTCTATGATTCTGTTATTCTCAGGAGCTCAATGAAATTGGGAAAGTTGGATATGGTTGGGTGCGGTGCTGGTTCTGAGCAGCTGTTGCCTCTGGTTCCGTAAGCTTCATCAACCATACCTGCTTTTCCCCAATCAGAGTGTGATTGTAGAAGACTCATAAAACCGCTTGTGCCTGGAGTGTTCTTTCTTTCTTTTTACAAATAAGCAAAATAAATTTTGTTCTTATTTAATTAGGCTGGTTTTATACCATAGTGCCACAGATCAGTGCATTATGGCACTGCAGGAAAATCTCCCCTCTGGTCATAAGAATTCAAAAATGAAGCTTTTAAAGTGAATAGTCTTCACTAATTAAATGTAGTATAACCACAAACAGGAATATCACCAATTGTCCTCTTTGGTTATTCATTTTTTTTCATTCTGTCATGTATGCCAGCTTATTGTGCGGCAAAGTATGTCTGTGGGTTTTGGGGGAGGGCAGTGAGTGTTAAATAACGACTAGGTAATCTCTCATGGACGCGGGTGCGCTGTGGGTAAAAGCCTCAGCGCCTAGGGCTTGCTGATCGAAAGGTTGGCGGTTCGAATCCCCGCGGCGGGTTGCACTCCCGTTGCTCGGTCCCAGCGCCTGCCAACCTAGTAGTTCGAAAGCACCCCCCGGGTGCAAGTAGATAAATAGGGACCGCTTACTAGCGGGAAGGTAAACGGCGTTTCCGTGTGCTGCGCTGGCTCGCCAGATGTAGCTTTGTCACGCTGGTCACGTGACCCGGAAGTGTCTCCGGACAGCGCTGGCCCCCGGCCTCTTGAGTGAGATGGGCGCACAACCCTAGAGTCTGTCAAGACTGGCCCGTACGGGCAGGGGTACCTTTACCTTTAATCTCTCATGACAGGAATCCTACTAAATATCATTTACAAGAGCTGAAGCATCTCTTTATTGCGAGGCTTGTAAATAAGTCCACCCAAGTCCCTAGCCTGCTTGCCCGCATGTGCCATTATGGGCAATGTTTCAATGTCTAGTCACCTGAAGGGAATTTTTAGTTCTCCAGGTGTTGGGGAGAGCAGGGCCGGATTTAGGTTTAATGAGGCCCTAAGCTACTGAAGGTAATGGGGCCCTTTATAATGTCCAGCTGTCCTTTGTCAACAACAAATTGCCACTGTTTTTTGTGTTGAACATACTATATCGTAATTTATGGACCTAATAGGTATCTAAAGGCATTTGCACATAACAAAATATATATTTTATCAAAGTAATTTATTTTATTTGTTTTTATCTTATATTTTGGAAATGTACATCCAGGTTTTTTCCCCTTTAAATTTTTTGAACCCCCCAAGAGAGTGGGGCCCTAAGCTCTAGCTTGTTTAGGTTATACAGTCATACCTCAGGTTACAGACGCTTCAGGTTGCGCGTTTTGGGGTTATGGACACACCGAAATCCGAAAGTACCGGAACGGGTTACTTCTGGGTTTCGGCGCTCGCGCATGTGCAGAATCGCTAAATCGCGCTATTCGCAGAAGTGCCGAATCGCAACCTGCTCGCGCGCAGATGCGGTGCTGCAGGTTGCGGACACTGCGGGTTGCGAATGTGCCTCCCGCACGGATCACGTTCGCAACACGAGCGTCCACTGTACGTAAATCCGGCATTGGGGGCGAGTGGCTCTATACATGTAATAAGTTCAACAAGAGAATATTCTTGGTGCCTCTTTGTATCGTGTCTTTGCAGTTTCACTATCCTGAAGTACATAGTCTGGGATTTGAGGTGATTCTATTATTTCCATTTTCTTATATGGCTTCAAAAGAAGTCGCTTTTAAAGGTCTGCCAGCGACTAAATACAGTGGTACCTCAGGTTACAGACTCCGCTAACCCAGAAATATTACCTCAGGATAAGAACTTTGCTTCAGGATGAGAACAGAAATCGTGCTCCAGCGACAGGGCGGCAGCGGGAGGCCCCATTAGCTAAAGTGGTGCTTCAGGTTAAGAACAGTTTCAGGTTAAGTACGGACCCCGGGTACTTAACCCGAGGTAACACTGTACCTTTTTTCTTCACTTCAGCTAGTCAGAATTCAGTCTCTCTGCCAACCCTGGTCATTGCTTCTGATGACCCGTAAGCTGTTCAAGAAAGATATTTTGTTTACAGTATTTCACTTGGAGATGTTACTTCGCATGTGTATAAAACACCGTTTCCCCTTTTTGTTTCAGGCATTCGACCACCAATCATGAATGGGCCCATGCACCCGCGTCCCTTGGTAGCACTGCTGGATGGCCGGGACTGCACAGTGGAAATGCCAATCCTGAAGGACGTTGCCACTGTTGCGTTTTGCGATGCACAGTCCACGCAAGAAATTCATGAAAAGGTGCAGCTGAACATTTATTTAAATTACCCGTCTAAGTACCGTATTTTTCGCTCTATAGGACACACTGGACCATAGGAGGGGGAGAACGGGGGGGGGGGAATTCTCCCCCTCTCTGCTCAGTGCCCCTTCAGTGAAGCGGCAGGAGAAACGGAGCAGAGGGGGGAAACTGTGCAGCGCCTCTCCAGCGAAGTGAATCCTGGAGAGCAAGAGGGATCGGTGTGCACTGACCCCTCTCACTCTTCAGACGGCTATCCGCAAGCCTTCGGAGCTCAGCGGGAACTCCTGCTGCACTCTGAAGGCTTGCGGATAGCTGCCTGAAGCCCCCAGAGCGCAGCAAAAGCAATGCAAAGCCTCCAGAGCTTGGGGGGAGCTCTCCCTCTGCGCTTCGGAGGCTTCGCGTTGCTATCGCTGAAGCCAAGGAGCCTGCATTCGCTCCATAAGACGCACACACATTTCCCCTTCGTTTTTGGAGGGGGAAAAGTGTGTCCTATAGAGCGAAAAATACGGTATTGTGAACACCATGTAGCACTACCACTTTCCCCATTTTCTGTGCAGCACCTAAAAGGATAATCTGAAATGGCAAGCTGTTTTACAGATAATGCGCAGAGGAGTATACAGCCCTGGTTAGAAGTGCACTGTGTCCATCCTGGCAAATCTCAAAAATGGTAAAAAACAACAACAACCTTAAGCAGGCTTCCTCAGCCTTGGCCTTCCAGATGTTTTTGACCTACAACTCCCATGATCCCTAGCTAGCAGGACCAGTGGTCAGGGATGCTGGGAATTGTAGTCTCAAAACATATGGAGGGCTGAGGTTGAGGAAGCCTGACCTTAAGCTTAACTAATACAGTCGTACCTTGGAAGTCGAACGGAATCCTTTCCGGGAGTCCGTTCGACTTCCGAAACGTTCGGAAACCAAAGTGTGGCTTCTGGTTGGCTGCAGGAAGCTCCTGCAGCCAATCGGAAGCTGCGGAAGCCCTGTCAGACGTTTGGCTTCCAAAAATAGTTTGCAAACCGGAACAGTCACTTCCAGGTGTTTGGGAGACAAAATGTTCGAGTACCAAGGCATTCGAGATCCAAGGTACAACTGTAAATATTTAGGACTCTCAGATATCCTGGCTGTGGTGGCATGCCCTTTCAGACTGGGGAAGCCAGCCCTGGCTACGAGCTGCCAATACCAGGTGCTCTCTTTCCTTGTTGAATGGTTTGGTGGTTGCTCCCACCAGTTGCAACAATAACAGGAGAAGGGTTCTAAACTGAGCTAGGGGTTATGAGTGCAAAACCAGAAAGTCTGCTTTGTTGATGATCCCTCTAGGTCTTCCAAGAGTCATGTATGTGCTTGAATGATTTCAGGGACGGGGAACCAGAGGCCAAATGCACCCCTCTGTACCAGTTCCTGGCCTTCTTGGTTACAGGGAACCAGGCAGAGGGCCTTCTTGGTAGTGGCACCTGCCCTGTGGAACGCCCTCCCACCAGATGTCAAAGAGAACAACAACTACCAGATTTTTAGAAGACATCTGAAGGCAGCCCTCTTTAGGGAAGCTTTTAATGTTTAACAGACCACTGTATTTTAATACTCAGTTGGAAGCCGCCCAGAGTGGCTGGGGAAACCCAGCCAGATGGGCGGGCTATAAATACAGTGGTACCTCGCAAGACGAATGCCTCGCAAGACGAAAAACGCGCAAGACGAAAGAGTTTTCCGTTTTTTGAGTCGTTCCGCAAGACGAATTTCCCTATGGGCTTGCTTCGCAAGACGAAACATCTTGCGAGTTCTTGCGAGTTTGTTTCCTTTTTCTTAAAGCTGCTAAGCCGTTAATAGCCGCTAAGCTGTTAATAGCCGCTAAGCCGCTAATAGCCGTGCTTCGCAAGACGAAAAAACCGCAAGACGAAGAGACTTGCGGAACAGATTAATTTCGTCTTGCGAGGCACCACTGTAATAAATTCTATTCTATTCTATTCTATTCTATTCTATTCTATTCTATTCTATTCTATTCTATTATTCTATTCTATTCTTCTCAACTCTCCTCAGGCCACAGCCACTCTCAGGACCCTCTTGTAGTGCGTTTGCTTGTCTGGAATGCATTCCTGAACTGTGATTAGGGCCTGTTACTTGCCTGGATAAAAGGGTGGTGCTGTGGGTTAAACCACAGAGCCTAGGACTTGCCAATCAGAAGGTTGGCGGTTCGAATCCCCGCGATGGGGTGAGCTCCCATTGCTCGGTCCCAGCTCCTGCCAACCTAGCAGTTTGAAAGCACGTCAAAGTACAAGTAGATAAATAGATACCGCTCCGGCGGGAAGGTAAACGGCGTTTCCGTGCGCTGCTCTGGTTCGCCAGAAGCGGCTTAGTCATGCTGGCCACATGACCCGGAAGTTGTATTTCGGCTCCCTCGGCCAATAAAGCGAGATGAGCGTCGCAACCCCAGAGTCGGCCACGACTGGACCTAATGGTCAGGGGTCCCTTTACCTTTACTACTTGCCTGGATAGAGGATGGAAATGGGGTTTTGTGTTTATAAACCTATGACTTCTGGGTGGCTGGAATATAGCCCACTCTACAAATATCAGTGCCGCTTGGTGCTTCTGTGGCCCTTTTTTGCCTTTGGCACTGCTCACCACTAGCCTGCAACTCCCAGAAGCTTGCCTTTGAGGAAGAAAGTTGCCCTCAGGCTGAAAATAAGACCCATCCCAATTTATAGCAATGCTGGCCTTGCAGAGAGTTTCTTAGAGGCCATTGGGACAGTGTACATTTTTTAAACATATGAAACGTGTTGTAAGAACGGTAAACATTTGCTTTTTTGAACAGCCCAACACATAAATGGCCGGTGTCTCTGCAGAATAAATTTGAACTAGTACAGTGGTGCCTCGCAAAACAAAAAGAATCCGTTCCGCGAGTCTCTTCGTCTTGCGGTTTTTTCGTCTTGCGAAGCAAGCCCATTAGCGTCTTAGCGGATTAGCGCTATTAGCGGCTTAGCAGGCTTAGCGGATCAGCTGTTAAGCGGCTTAGCGATCAGCTGTTAAGCGGCTTAGCGGATCAGCTGTTAAGCGGCTTAGCGGATCAGCTGTTAAGCGGCTTAGCGGATCAGCTGATAAGCGGCTTAGCGGCTTGGGGAAAAGGGGGGGGGGAGGAAAAAAACCCCGCAGGAACTCTGAAGACATTTTCGTCTTGTGAAGCAAGCCCATAGGAAATTCGTTTTGCGAAGCACCTCCAAAACGGAAAACCCTTTCGTCTAGCGGGTTTTCCGTCTTGCGAGGCATTCGTCTTGCGGGGCACCACTGTATTGAACTATAGATTCGGATCTATCTGTGAGGTCTCATAAAAAAAAAAGGTTCCCTACCAAATAAATTAGTGTAATTTCTATAAACTGCTAATAGCTGACCTTTTCAGAGAAATGTCAGGTTTGTTTCCTCTAATAGATGGAAGATTTCACCAAAGATGTTGGCAGCATCTCACAGGATAACTTGCTTCAGATTGTAGCTCGTCAGAAACACTCAAATGTTTCCACTCCAATATGGGCGACTGACCTTTAAATCCAAGACTACCATAGGCCAGACCTCATTTTTCCTGAAGATAAGCGCACTCAGTTTCCTAATTCAGAGAAGGGAGAATGTTCAGCATTGCACTATTTCTCCTACCTACCGTATTTTTCACTCCATAGGGCGCACCTAGTTTTTAGGGGGGGGGGGAATAAAGAAAAAAAATGTATTCCCCTCCTCCCCCAGCCCCAAAGAGCAAAGAAGCCAAGACAGCGAGCGGGATCCATCCCACTGGCTGTCTTGGCTTCCTCTTTAGCCACGCACAACCTCTCCAGCCGGGAGAGGCTGTGCGCGGCTTTGGCAGAAGCCAAGACATAGCTTCTGCGGATATCTCCGCAGATTGCGGATAGTTGCCTGAAGCCCGGGGAGCACAGCGCAAGTTGGCGCTGCACTCCCCGGGCTTCAGGCTACTATCTGCAAGCCTTTGGAGCCCGGCGGGAACTCCCGCTGCGCTCCGAAGGCTTGTGGATAGCTGCCTGAAGCCTGGAGAGCGAGAGGGGTCGGTGCGCACTGACCCCTCTCGCTCTCCAGGCTTCAGCGAAAGCCTGCATTCGCTCCATAGGACGCACACACATTTCCCCTTCATTTTTGGAGGAGGAAAAGTGCGTCCTATAGAGCGAAAAATATGGTAGTTTTTTTATTTGGGCGGGCAGCGAATCAGGGCCTCTCAGACAAGTCGTAGAATTGTAGAGTTGGAAGGAATCCCGTCTAGACCAACCCCCTGCAATGCTGGGGTGTAGACAAGTGTTAAGTTGTGGGCGAACATAGCAGACGACACAGCCAGCTCTTTATTTGTAAGCTGGACAGAACTGAACAGCAAACAGCTCAGCCGGCCTGCTTTTATAGGCAGCCGGCTGTCAACAATGTAGCAACAACAACCCAGGGTTTCCCACCTAAAATAACTGACGTGGACCTGAGTGAAAACTACACACACAATACTGCTGGCCCAGGGTGAGAACTTCAATACATAACACCCCTCCCCACCGAGATAAGACGTTAGTTACAATCGTAATGGTTTCCTTATATACAGCACTACACGTAATGGTTCAATTAGGCACAAAAGCATATCGGTTACCTTTCCCATACTTAGACCAACAGTGATACATGTCCCACAACATAGTCCTTTAAATAAGTTGGGCACTTGGAAACTCTGCCAGACCGCCGGGGACTGGTAGCCAAGTCCGGGGGGCCACACAATTCTTGCTGAGACTGTGGTGCGACCCTAGGTGGCGTTGAAACCAAATCCCCTGGATCCGCTGCTGTGGGTGGAGCCTCCGCAAGTGGAGTGGTCTGAGCCTGTGGTAAGTCTGGCAGACCCTCTGAAGCGGCTTGGTTCGGCTCCACGCTGGCAGTTTGCGAGGGAGGTGTAGGTGAAGCCTCACCATCTGTAAGTGTCTCTTCCGGAGCCACAAGCGCAGTTGGGGGCACCACGGTAGTGTCCAAGTCCCCAACCCTGCGCCTAAGCTGGTCT